TAGAAACCTCATTTTAAACTAACTTAAATGAGCAAAATTGTATGTGCTCACAGCGCAGAAATAGCCCTGCTCAGTCAAGGGACTAATATCACCCTTGAACCTTACTGACTACAACACGTGGAGAAAAGCTTGGGATTTCTTAAGACAAGGGGAATAGGAGTGGACCTGCCTTGGTTTCTGGAGGACAATATATACCTCTGTTATTTAATCCAAGTACTTTTACCTGTGAACCCTCCTAACAGCAAAATGCTGAGAAGGCTTGGGGTTTCTTAAACCAAAGGGGAATTGGAGAGGACCTCCCTTGGTTTCTGGAGGAAAATACATACCTGCACTCTATGAGCCAGGTACTTTCACTTGGGATTTCTTAAACCAAAGGGGAACAGCAGTGTACCCATGTGGTTTTCCAGAAGACAATACATACATCCCTGCACCTAAAAGGGGAAAACTGATAATGCAGGTCCTTCACAGAGCATCGCCCTCTCCTGGGACATTACATACTTATAACAGCCTAACATCTACCAAGAAAAGACTCATACAATGTCAAGAAAGCAGTAGGCAGCTTCAAACATCATGAAAAAAACCAAATGAACCGTTCTTCTAAAAAAGCGGAGCATATTGCAGACTAATGAATACCTCAGATACAGATAACCTGAAGAAATATTTTGATGGAGTTTTTTGAACAGCTACAGAAGAAGGTGCAAATGATGGAAGAAACAATGGAAACCCCCAAATGTCTTTCTGAGCAGTTGAGCCATTTTACAATCCCACCAACATTGTATGAGAGTTCCCAACTTTCCACATCCTCTCCAACATTTATTGTTTGCTGCCCTGCTAAACTTCGCCACCGCTTTTGGGATGAGATGGTATGTCATTGTGGTTTTGATTTGCATCTCTCTTATTGCCAGTGATTTTGAGCATTTCTTTGTGTCTGTTGGCCACCTGGATGTCTTCCTCTGTGAAAGTCTTTCCATGTCTTTTGCCTATTTTGTAATTGGGTTATCAGTCTGTTTCTTCTGGAAGAAGACAGTTTGACATTTTCTCAAAAAGTTGAATATGGAAACTCCATATGACTCAGCTATTCCACTGCTAGGAATATACCCCAAGGAAATTAGAACTGAGACACAAACAGATTTGTATGCCAGTGTTTATAGCAGTGATTTTTACCATGACAAGAACATGGAAACAACCCAGATATCCAACCACAATCGAATGGATTGAGAAATTATGGTATATTCACACAATAAAATACTATGCAGCAGTCAGGAGCAATAATTTCAAAAAATATTATGTAACTTGGGAGAGGCTAGAGGGAATTATGGCTAGAGTGAACTAACTTAGTCTCATAAGGACAAATACTACATAAGACCATTATTGTAAAAATAGAAGGATAACTAGTAAAACATGTACAGGAACTCAAGGTGGGGAGGGCTGAGGATGGGTAGGGGCAGAACCACAGGGTTGCACAGTTTAGTGGATAGAGGGAGCAGGGGAACGAAACGGGAAGGATCTAGGTGAAAAGAGAGGGTCATGATGGGTGAAGTCCAATGGTGATTAATTTTATAAAACATAATGCATGAGAATAATTGTATGAAACACAATGTGACAAAAATAGTGTGAAACACGATGTATATTAACTTTTTTAAGGAAACAAATTTTTTAAAAAATAAACAATGGAAGCTGGCTCACATCATTAGAACTCTCACCTTTCTGCTCAACTCTTTTAATTTGTCTGACTCCATTCTGAGGCAGGTTCTCTCCTCATGGTGACAAAATGGTAATACTTAGGCAGAGCTGAAGGCACCCTGGCAGTATAGTGCTACACATTGGGCTACTACTGAAAAGTCATTAGTTTAAATTCACCAGCCACTTCTCAAGAGCAAGATAGGCAGTCTCCTATAAAATTTTGAGCTTTGGAAACACAGAGGAAGGTAACCAGGAGTCAGAATCAACTCTATGGCAGTTAGTTTGGGTTGTTTGTAAAAAAAAATCTCTAAACACTCGGTGACTCTAGCTACTATAATTTTCCTCTTCCCAACAATGTGGAGGGAGGGGGGAAGAAACTCTGTAATTAAGTCTTTCCAGTTGGGTCTCATTAGATCTAAACCAATCATCTATCATAGACCCAGTTGTGGGAATTAGGGATGGAGAAGATTTCTGGAGATGCCATTGCTTTAAACAATAGAAGTTTATTGTCTCGTTTTAGAGATTGGTATGGGCATACTTCATCTTGTTATTATGTTGGTTTTTAGGTGCCATTGAGTTAAGTACAACTCATAGCAACCCTATGAACAAAAGATCTGAACCCTGTTCTATCCTGTGCCATCCTCACACATCCTGACACACAAGAGCCCATTGCAGCAGTCACTATCTCAGTCCACCTGTTTGAGTGTCTTCCTCTCCTTCATTGATCCTCTAACCTTCCCAGCATCATGTCCTTCTCCAAGGAACAGACCCTCCTAGCAACACAACCAAAGTATGTGAGATGAAGCCTCATCACTCTTTCCTCCAAAGTGCTCTGCACCTGCACCTTCTCCAAGACTTACCTGTTGTTTTCTTGGTTGTCCATGGGAAGTTCAGTGCTCTTCTCCAACACCACAGCTCAGAGGCATCAATTCTTTTCCTGTCATTCTTATTGTCCAGCTCTCAGATGCATAGCAAGTTATCGGAAAGACCATGGCCTGAATCAGATGCATCTTAGTCCTCAAACTGAAATAGTTACTCCTCAATAATTTGGAGAGTTCCCTAACTGCAGATTTTCCTAGTGCAGTGTGTCTCCCTATTTCCTGACTGCTGGTACCAAGGGTGTTAATTGTGGATCCAAGCAAAATGAAGCTGTTGACAGTTTAAGTCTCTTCTCCTTCCATCATAACACTGCCTATCATACAGTGGTAAGAGTCTTTGTTTTCTTGATATTGAGATACACTCCATACTGAAGGCTCATTTCATCTTACTACATTTTATTTTGTTGTGCCTCACTGTGGTTTTTTTACAAATTGAAATTTATGACAAACCTGTGTCAAGCAAGTCAATTGGTGCCACTTTCTTGTGTTCACTTCATGTCTCTGGCATAATTTGGTAATTCTCAATTTGGTGTTTCCAGCTTTCTCCATGATGCTACTATGTATTTGTTAGACTAAGGTATACTGTAAACATACTTTTATATGCAGTGAGAACCAAAAAATTCATGTAGCTTGCTTTATTGTGATACTTTATTATGAGTGGAACTCAGCCTGCAGTATCTGAGGTATGCTTGGATTCAGAGCCTTTTAAAGGCCATGTTCTTAACAGAAGGAAGATCCTATCCTTGGCTTACAGCTGCAGCATAACTCTCTCACTTGATCATTTCTCGCTGCCTTTTCTTTTATAAGGAGTTATTCACATTGGGTTAGAACTCACCCTACTGCAGTAACACAGATGAAGTTGGAAGGAAGGTGGTAAGATTTCTTTAAAAGAAGGAAACGTCTATAATGATCATGCTCGGCAGTGGGAGTGAGGAGAGTGATGACTCTGCCCCTTCCAGTGAGAGGAGTGACTTTCTTTGGCGAGAAATTTGAAGGCAAATGATATTTCTCAGAAGAGTCAAGATTTTGAGAGAGTGGAGGAAGTTGGAGAAGTACTGGAAAAGAACTTGTAGAATAAGGCTAGTATATTCAGAATGGGATTTCTAAAGTGTGGTGTGTGGGATGGGTGAAGAATAATGGATTTGGCGAAGATACTGGCAACAAACTGGATGTGGGTGGTGTGATAGAAGAAAATTTAACTTGGTGGAAAACTCACTGTCGAGTCCATGGTTGGGGTTGTGGGTTTTTTTGTTTGTTTTTTGTTTTTCCATTTCACTCTAAACCATAAACTTCATCACCTTGACCTTGACTTGAGAAACTACTGGTAAAGAATGATGAGTAATCAGTTGCTGCTCTTTCAGCTTGTGAGAGAAGATCTGGCTCTTTCTAATAGGACTTCTGGTTGATGCCTACCTTTGAGTGAGCCGCCTATCATATGATCAGTCCTTGCACAGACCTATATTTCATTTTCTATGATTATCTGTTGTAAAATGCACAAATTTTAAAAAGATATAACTTAGATTTTTTCATCCTGAGGAAGAAAAATTTATTGTTCTGTTATTACTGTTCGGTATCAATCATTGTAGTTGACTTCATAGGGACTCTGTGAAAAACAGATCGAAACTTCGCCCTTCTTTATGATGTCTTCCGTGCTCAAGCCTGTTTTGTCCCTATTTCAGTCCATCACAATGAGGACTATACTTTTGTTGATTCTTTACTTTTCCAGGCTTGATGTCTTTTTCCAAGGGCAGGTGCCTCCTGACAACATGCTCTAAGCATGTGAGATGATGCTTTACCATCCTTGCCTCTAAGAAGCACATTGGTTTCACTTCCTCTGAGACAGATTTGCAGTCAGAGACCTCTCTAAATTATTGAGGAGTAATTATGTCAGTTTGAGGACTGATTTGAGCACTAAAAGTGTGTCTGATTCAGGCCATGGTCTTTCCAATCACTTGTGTATCTGAGAGCTGGACAATTTAATAAGAATGACAGAAGAATTGGTGCCTTTGAGCTTTGGTGTTGGAGAAGAGTACTTAACTTTCCATGGACTGCCAAAATATGTCTTGAAGAGGGTACAGCCACAGCGATCTTTGGAGGCAAAGATGATGAGGTTTCACTTCACATACTTCAGGCATGTTGTTAAAAGGAGTTATTCCTTGGAGAGGGACATGATGCTTGGAAAGGCAGAGGGTCAACAGAAGGAAGACCCTCAACCAGGTGGGCTGACACAGTGACTGCTGCAATGTGCTCTAGTGTGTCAAGAACTGTGGAGATGACACAAGATAGGACAGGGTTCAGATCTGTTGTTCATAGGTTTGCTATGGGTCATACTTGACTCAGCGGTACCTAACAACAGCAATCAGTTTATTACTTTGAGTTATGAAGCTAATTAACCTCCATATCTCATTATCCTTATGTTGACTTTGCTTTTCTCCTCAGGCTTCCTGTTCCCAAACTTGAAGACACCATTAGGAGATACCTCAATGCGCAGAAACCCCTATTGGATGACAGCCAGTTCAGGTGAACACTGAAGACTTTGCATGGCCCTGGTTGAGGTGATTTAAGAGAAGCTGGTTCAGGGGAGGTGGGCCAAGTCTCAGGAGGTATCTGTGACTTGAATGATTCTAAGCACAAAGGACCTAGTCAGTATGTCTGGAAGGTCAGAAAATAGCTTTTCCACTATGTATAAAAGGCAGGCCAAGCCTTGAAGTAAGAGTCTCTCTAACCACACTCAGCAGGAGATGATTTATAAGCCAAAATGTCACACTGATATCCTAACTGGGCAGGTGTACTTGAAAGCATAGCTGGTCCTAGTCATTTGCAGAGGGCATACTCTCTGGGTGGGGAGGTCCGTGGATAAGATGATAATGCAGGCCACAAGTTAGAGCATAGCATTTGAAAATTATATTGCCAGGTGTGAAGAAGTAAGAAAAAATGATTGCCTTGAGCTCTCATGGCTTCTTTTACTATAATGGGAGTTTTTTGGTACAGAAACTTGTCAGAATCACAAAAGTCTTCACTGAACAGTGATGGAGAAACATAGATGATTTGTTCATAAATCCTGCTTTTAAAGACCAGTCATTTGAAGCTTCTCTTGACATCACAATGAATTATAGTTGCCATTATTAAAAGATTATGTTTCAGACTATTCTAAACCTTAAATTATTATTTTTTTAATATCTTAAGCTCTATTTTATGTGTAAAGGTCATACACCCTGAATCTGAGAGTGCTAGGATTCAGGGGTCAGTCTTATTGACTCCAAAACTCATTGCTGCTTAGATGACAAATTGTTTCGTGAGATGTTGATTGATCTTCCTGATCAGTCATCTTAAGAAGATATGTTGTTGTTGTTGTTGTTGTTATGTGCCATCGAGTCGTTTGCGACCCTATGTACAACAGCCCTAAATCGCACTGCCTCTGACACATCATCCCAATTACCCAGTCATTGAATCAATCCACCTCATAGAGGGTCTTCCCCTCCTGCGCTGTCCCTCCACCCTCCCAAGCATGATGTCCCTCTCCAAGGACCTGTCCCTCCTTACAACATGTCCAAAGTATGTCAGACGAAGCCCCAGAATCCTTACCTCCAAGGAGTAGCCTGGCTTAACCCTCTCCAGGATGAATCTGTTTGTTTTCTTGGTAGTCCATGGTACCCTCGATGCTCTTCTCCAGCACCACAGCTCAAAGGCATCAGTTCTCCTTCTATCCTCCCTAGTCATTGTCCAACTCTCTGATGCATAACAAGTGATTGCAAAGACCATGGCCTATATCAGGCTCACCTTAGTCTCCAAAGAGACACTGTTGCTCTTGAGTACTTTAGAGAGGTCCCTAACAGGAGATTTTCCCATCGCAATACGTTTTTTTATTTCCTGGCTGCTGGTGCCAAGAGTGTTGACCATGGAGCCGAGCAAACTGAAGCTGTGAACAATCTCTGGTAATTTCTTAAAATCATTCCACATTAGATTGATTCCTCCTCTTCTCATTGGAGGCACCTTCCAATTTTGTCCTTGAGTTCTAGGGATATACTACTAGAGATTCAAAACTGTCTTTATTACTTCTTGGTCATAAACCTAAAAATCATGTATTCTCTGCCATCACTTGACTCTGTCTTTGAATATTTCAGGAAAACCGAACAGTTATGCAAGAGTTTTGAGAATGGAAGTGGAAAAGAACTGCATGAGCAATTGGTTGCTCAGGACAAGAAGAATAAACACACAAGCTACATTTCAGGTAGGCTGGACTGTGGCATGCCCCTCCCAGCGTTCTCCATAATGGCAGTGAAGACATCTTTTCTCCTGTTTGGTCTTAAAAACATTTCTAGTGAGATTAGTTTCGAAGTAACATCTGGTCTTCTCTTAAGTTAAAATATTAAAGTGGTGACATCTATTTTGGTCTTTTCATCTTCCTCTGTCTTAAAATGAGCATACCGATATGTTATACACTATGCTATTAGAGCTTTAGAATTAGAAAACTTTCTTTGAATTATGTACATGTGTGTGTGTGCATATATACAGATTGTACTTCTAAATTCTAAACAATCGTGCGACTGCTAAGATAACGACTCTGCACTCATTCAATTATGATACACACAAGACATTACACAATGTTGTCAATGGAAACTCATTATTTATAGAGAATAAACATTAACAACATATCAGATAACTTACAATCAATTTTAGGTGAGCAAGTCTACTCTACCTCAATGAGTACTACATGTAGGATTGTAGGGGAAGATCTCTTCTTGAGTAAAAAGCGAATAAGTTATTCTTTTAAAATTATCGAAGTAAGATGTGTACAAAAGTCCAGAGGGGAAAAGGGTGGGACAGTGGGTTGATGGTGGGAAGGGAGGATTACAGGGTCACATAGTTTGGAGGGAGAAGGGAGGGTGTGTGAAGGAATTAGGAAAGATTCAATGAGGACTGGAAAGGGTGAAGTAATAATGGGATTGGATTAATGGTGTTTAAAATGCAGTGTTTGGAAATGATAATCTGAAATACAGTGTGAATGATGAAATATGTGAAATATATGAATGAAACACAATGCATTCCAATATAACACAATGCAAACCAATATAAAAGAAAAATATATTTTTTTTAAAAAATTAAAGTTGCGTGAGTTCATCCTCTAAGATGTTGGCTGGACTCCATGCTCAAGAACAAAGGCTTGCCTTCCCTGTAGGTACTTCAAGAAGCTACCCAGTGGTTCTTCAAAAAAGATGTATGTGAAGTCCCGTGTTTCTCATGTTAGCCCTCTGCAGCCTCATGTCTCCTCACTCTCCCTGACAAGCAGCCTTCAACAAAACTACTCCTCATTATTTCCTGAACCTCTAAATCTTCATTCTTCTGGGCCTTTATCCATATTGTTCCCACCACCATTTTTTGCATGATAAATTCTTCAAGACCCAGGTAGTTGATTTTTCTCAGAAACTTTCCTAGTCCTTCCTCCTACTTATTCTGAGTTGATTACTTCTTCTGTTTTCAGCACATCTTTAATATAGCATATATATATATATATATATATACACACACACACGCACACACACACATAGTCTGAAGAATCTAATAGTTCAGTAAGCTTTTTAGGAAAACAGCCTTGGCCCTCCACTAATTTCCCACTCCTGAATTTTAACTCCTGTTTGGTTATTTTATTTTTTTTTATTTCTGCTCCCAAAGCTCTAAAGCTACTTAACATTATTGCATTTTAATTTTTTTTAAATTTTAGACATTATTTATTGATATTTTGTTATAGAAATTTACAATTTAGGAGCCCTTTACATTCCACCGCGCTCATTAATGGTGCATGCTTCCTGTACCCTCAGTTTTCCATTATGTTGTTGTAGGATGCCATCCAGTTAACTGACGCAGCACCCCTGTGTACAACAAATCAAAACCTTGCCCAGTCCTTCACCATCCTCACAGACTCCACTTTGTTCAAGTCCATAACTGAAGTCACTGTGTCATTCTGTCTCATTAAGGGTCTTCCTCTCCTTTGCTGACTCACTACTTTTCCCAAGCATTATATCCTTTCCAAAAGCTGGCCATTCCTGATAATAGAAAGTCCTTGCCTGTAAGGAGCACCTCAGCTGTACTTCTACCATGACAGATTTGTTTGTTCTTTGGTGGACCATGACATATTCGGTCTTACCAACACTGCAGTTTGAAAGCAACGATTTTTCTTCGGTCTTCCTTATTCATTGCCTACATTTTTCATGCTTATGTTGTTGTTATATGCCCTTGAATCTACCACGACTCATAAAGACCCTATACATAATAGCTCTGAATGCTGCTCTATCCTGAGCCAATCTCACTGTTTCTGACACTCCTACCCTCCCTTACCCCAGTTATTGTGTCAGTCCATCTCTTCCGGGGTCTTCTGTTAATCTATCTCATCCAGGGTCTTCCTCTCCTACACTGTCCCCTGACCTTTCCAAGCATGAGAGCCTTCTTTAAAAGCTGGTCCCTTCTGGCTACATGCCCAAGTATGTGAGATGAAGCCTCAGAAACTTTTCCTCCAAGGAACAGCTTGGTTTTACCCTCCCCAGGACACACCTGTTAGTTCTCTTGGCAGTCCATGGTATGTTCAGTACTCTTCTCCAGCACCACAATTCTGCTGAAAATAACATGACTTGGGTCCAATGCACCTTAATCTTCAAACTGATATCTTTGTTCTTTTGAACTTTAAAAAAGTCCTTGATAAAATATTTGCCCAACACATCTTAATTTCTTGACTACTGATACCAGGAGTATAGATCCAAGTAAAGTGAACTCCTTGACAACATCAATCTTTCCCCTCATTATTATGATACTGCCTATTGATCCACTGGTCAGGATTTTTCTTTTCTTTATGTGGAGGTGTAATTCATGTTGAAGTCTGTAGAGTGTGGTTTTCTCAGTAAGTGCTTCAAGTATTCTTCAGTTTCTGCAACAAGGGTGAGTCATCTGTATTAATGCAGGTTGTGGGTGAGTCTTCCTCTCATTCTGATGTCATGTTCTTCCTATAGTTATATGTACAGCTTCTCAGATTATCTGCTGAGCATACAGATTTAATAAGTACTGAGACAGAATACAATCCTAATGCACACTTCTCCTGATTTTAAACCGTGTAAACTGCTTGCTCTGTTCAAACAACTTCTTGTTCTGTGTACAAGTTTGGCATGAGCACAGTTAAGTTTTCTGGAATTTCCATACTTAGTTTATTATTTACACAGTTAAATGCCTTTTAATAGTCAATAAAACACAAGTGAACATCTTTCTGATGTTCTTTGTTTTCAGCCAAGATCCACCTGATCTCAGTAACGGTATCTCTCATTCTATGACTTCTTCTAAATCCAGCTTGAATTTCTGGCAGTTCTGTTGTTAGTATACTGCTCCTACCATCTTCTAATAATCTTCAGCAAGATTTTACTTGGATGTGATATTGATGATATTGCTCAGTGATTTCCACTGTCTGTTTTTGGAATGAGAGCAGATACATATCTTTTCCAGTCATCTGGCCAGGTAAGTATCTTCCAAAATCTTAGCTTAGACTAGTGAGCACATTCAGGGTTGTTGCATCTGTTGTCTGATAGACCTCAGTTGGTATTCCATCAAGTTCAGGAGCCTTATTTTCTGCCAAAGCTTTCCGTGCAGCTGTGGTGCTGGACAAGAGTATTGAGGGTACCATGGACTGCTAGGAAAACAAACAGATTTGTCTTGGAAAGGGTCAAATTGGGTGGCTCCTTGGAGGCAAGGATTCTGAGGCTCCATCTAACATACTTTGGACATGCTGTAAGGAGGGACCGACCGGTCCTTGGAGAGGGACATCATGCTAGGTAGGGTGGAGGGACAGCGCAGGAGGGGAAGGCCCTCTATGAGGTGGGTTGATTCAGTGACTGCGGTAATTGGGATGAGTGTTTCGGAGATGGTGTGATTGGCATAGGACAGAGCAGAGTTTAGGGCTGTTGTACATAGGGTCGTTATGAGTCGCAAGCGACTCAACGGCACATAACAACAACAACAACAACAAGGTGGGGTTGGAAGTAACTACAGTTCTGTTCCATTATGTAAAAATAACAAGGGTATCTGACCCCTACTGACTCTGTAAGTGGAAACTGCCACCATCAACAACTTCCACAGTACAAAACTAATTTTCCATAAAGTCAGACATGGCCCCTGCCCCATGTTCCTGCACTCTTTTCTGTTAATTCTAACACCACCCTACTTCCTTACTGGTTCTGAAATCATTGCAATACCTACACAGACTTAACAGAAACATACTCACAATTAAGGAGTTTATTAGGGAAGTTAACAAGTCATAATTCTGCTTTGTGGCTTTAGACCAGTGTTACAAAGCTCTCTTTAGTTCTCCAATTAAGGCATCTCTCCCTCTCCCAGTTCTTTAACAGGCTTGGGTGAAAGCTCCTAGCTCTGGTCCCATGGGGTAACAGTCCCAAGGTCCACACTATCACATTGTGTCTCTGTTTTAGGGAAGAAATGGCTTATGCAGTTGTTGATGATGTAAAGGGGCCATGTCTTGCAGGGCAGGCGGAGTTGAGGCAGCTAGGTTAGGTTAGAAGTGTTGTTCCAGGTAAGCAGAAAGAGAACCAATGTCTCAGATGTAGTCCTTTTTATAGAAATGCCAGCATATACACTAGGCCCTCAGAGGAACTAAGGGTGGTGATGTGGGTTAGACAGTGGTCTAGGAAAGCCATTTTAGCAACAGGCTCACTACACCACACATAATCCCTGGAAAGAGGAAATCATGATTGATCGTGTAGAGGGCCAAGGGAACAGATGGGGAGGTTCAATGAGATAGATTGACATACTGGCTTTAACATCAGGCTCAAGTATAGCACAGGACCAACAATATTTTTTTATAAATAAGGTCACTATGCATAGGAGCTGATTTCGTGGCACCTAACAACAACAACAACAATGACTTTACATGTGGATTTCACCTGATGGGCTGCATAGGAATCCGATTGACTACGTTTGTGGAAGAAATCATTGGAGAAGCTCAATATCAGCAGTCAAAACTAGGCCAGGGGCAAGCTGTGTGTGGGTCAGACTATCAATTACTCATATGCAAGTTCAAATTGAGGCCAAAGAAAATGAAAATAAGTCCACAGAAACCAAGATAGGATCTTGAATCAATTCCATCTGAATTTCATGATCATCTTAAGAATAGGTTTGGAGGCATAGAATAGCAGTGATCGAAGACCAGATGAGTTGTGAGATGATATCAAAGATATCATCCATAAAGAAAGCAAAAGGTCATTACAAAAACAGGAGAAAGAAAAAATGGAAATGGATATCAGAAGAGATTCTAAAGATTGTACTGGAGCATTAAGAAACCAAATCTAAAGGAAAACATGTTAAAGTGAAAGAGCTGAACAGATGATTTTGAAGGGCAGCTTGGGCACAAAACAGTATTATAATGGAATGTGCAGGGAGCTGAAATTGGAGAATAAAAAGGGAAGAACTCACTCTTCATTTCTCTAGCTGAAAGCACTGAAAACCAAATTTAAGGTCGTGTCACAATACTGAAAGATGCAATGGGCAATATATTGAATGACCCAGAAAGCATCAAAAGAAGATGGAGGGAATACACAGAGTCACTGCACCAGAGAGAACTGACACTGAAATATTTCAGGAAGTACCATATGAATAGGATCCAGTGGTAATGAAGGAGAAAGTAGAAGCTGCATTGAAGGCATTGGCAAAAAATAAGACCCCGGGAATTGATGGGATACCACCTGACTTGTTTCAATTAACAGATGCAGTCTTGAATGCACTCACCAGTCTATGCCAGGAAATTTGGAGGACATCTGTCTGGTCAACAGATTGGAAGAAGTTCATATTTGTTCCCATTCCCAAGAAAGGTGATCCAGCTGAATGTGGAAATTATCAAACAATATCATTGATATCACATGCAAGCAAAATACTGCTGAAGATCATTCAAAACCAGCCGGAACAGTACATAGATAAGGAACTGCCAGAAATTCAGGCAGGATTTAGACGAGGTAATGGGACCAGGGATATCATTGCTGATGTCAGATGGATCCTGGCTGAATGTAAGGAATACCAGAAGAATGTCTGTTTGTGCTATATTGACTATGCAAAGGTGTTTGTGTGGATCCTGACAAGTTGTGGCTGAGATAAGAATGGGATGTGGATGGATAAGAATGGGAATCCCAGAGCACTTGATTGTGCTCATGTGGAACATATATCTGGAGCAGGAAGCTGTGGTGTGAACGGAGCAGGGGGGCACTACATGGTTTGGAATTGGGAAAGAAGCGCGCCAGGGATGTATTCTGCCTCCCTACCTGTTCAACCTATCTACTGAGCATATTGTCCGAGAAACTGGACACTATGAAGAGGATTGTGGCATCAAGATTGGAGGGAGACTCATAAATAACCTGCATTATGCAGATGACAAAACCTTGCTAGCTGAAAGTGAGGACTTGAAGCACTTGTTGAAAAAGATCAAGAAATGAAGCCTCCAGTATGGATTTCATCTCAATGTCAGGAACACAAAGATTCTTACCACTGGACCAATAGGTAGTGTCAGGATGGAGGGAGAGGCAATTGAGACTGTCAGAAGTTTTACCTTGCTTGGATCCACAATTAACACCCTTGGTACCAGCAGTCAGGAAATAGAAGATACATTGCGTTGGAAAAATCTACAGTTGGGGAACTTTCCAAATTATTGAGGAGTAGTAATGTCAGCTTGAGGACTGAGGTGTGTCTGATTCAGGCAGTAGTCTTTCAGATTACTTGCTATGCATCTGAGAACTGGACAGTGAATAACAATGGCAGAAAAAGAATTGATGCCTTTGAGCTGTAGTGTTGGAGAAGAGCACTGAACATCCCATGGATGGCCAAGAGAACAGATATGTCTTTGAGATGGTGCAGCCAGAGTGCTCTTTGGAGGCAAGAATGATGAAGCTTTACCTCACATATTTTGGACATGTTGCTAAGATGTGTTTTTCCTTGGAGAAGAACATGATGCTGGGAAGGGAAAAGGGTGGAGGGTTGGCGAAGGAGAGGAAGACCCTCAACCAGGCGAATTGACACGGTGACTGCTACAATGGGCTCTTATGTGTCAGTAAGTGTGAGGATGGCTCAGGATAGAATAATGTTCAGATCTTTTGTTCATAGGGTTGTTTTGAGTTGTGATCATCTTGACAGCACCTAACAACAACAATAAACTTTTCTAACTAAGAAAGGAAATAAAATGAGGAAAAAGCAGTTGAAAAAAAATTGTTGAAGCAACCCACAGTCCATCAAGTTATGAAAGACTATCCATCCAATGGCATGTTATTCAGCAGTAAAAAAGGAATGAAGAATACTGCACAACATGGATGAATCTAGGACAGATTATACTGAGTGACAGACACCAGTCACGAAAAGACAGTCATGGAATAAGACCACTTCTCGGAAAAGAAAAGGTAAGGTTTTAAACACAGAAACAATCTTGGAGGAATAGCAGGGATGAGAGAGGAATAAAATTAGTAACTTAGGTAAAGGGAAAGGCAATATACAAAAAAAGAGTTGAGTGGACATTGTAAATAATTGCATTAATCAGTGGCCATTAATCTTATAAAGAACAAAAATACACAAAAACCAAATATGACTTGTAAACGTCCAGTCAAATAATGATACAAGAAAAATATTTTTTAAAAAAGAAACTGGAAGAATGAAGTATAGATGCATAGTACAACATGAATGAGCATCCAGAACATTGTTTTAAGTGAAAAAAGCCAGATGCAAAAGATCATGTACTGTATGATTCCGTTTGTGTGCCTTGAGTTCCTGCACAGCAAACAGTAACCAGGAGTTTCACCCTTTGGGAGTGTGATACTGTTTCTCTGAGCAGCCTTTATGGGTTTATTTTTCACATTTTCTCTTCAGATATTCTATTAACTGCTTCCCTTTTATTGTGGTAAATGCATATATGTAACAGACAGTACGTTCACCCTTTCAGCAACCTTCATATACACAGTTCTGTGACTCTCAGTTATGTTCATCATGTTGGTCAGCCATCACCGTTCCCAAATTTTTCTTTACTTCTAAGCATTGTTTGACATCTGGATTAAGATGAGGCCTGCTTCCCCTCTCCCTCCTACCTACCCGTGTACATTGACTTTTTATGTTTGTTTTGTTTTGTTTTTGGTTTTTGTTAAGGTCCTTGGTTTGATATGTACTTAGCTGCTCGAGACTCCATTGTCCTGAACTTTAATCCATTTATGGCGTTCAACCCTGACCCAAAGGCTGAGTATAATGACCAGCTCACTCGAGCAACCAACATGACTATGTCTGCCATCCGGTTTCTAAAGACTCTCCGGGCCGGCCTTCTGGAGCCAGAAGTGTTCCACTTGAACCCTGCCAAAAGTGACACTGACACCTTCAAGAGACTCATTCGCTTTGTGCCTTCCTCCCTGTCCTGGTATGGTGCCTACCTAGTCAACGCGTATCCCCTGGATATGTCCCAGTATTTTCGCCTTTTCAATTCAACTCGTATACCCAAACGTGGCCGGGATGAGCTCTTCACAGATGACAAGGCCAGACACCTCCTGGTCCTTAGAAAAGGACATTTCTATGTCTTTGATGTCCTGGATAAAGATGGGAATATTGTGAGTGCCTCAGAAATCAAAGCGCACCTGAAATACGTTCTCTCCGACAGCAGCCCTGCCCCCGAGTTTCCTCTGGCGTATCTGCCCAGTGAGAATCGAGACGTCTGGGCAGGGCTCCGGGAGAAGCTGCTGAGTGACGGCAATGCCGAGACTCTGCAGAAGGTGGACTCTGCTGTGTTCTGCCTCTGCCTCGATGACTTCCCCATTAAGGACCTTGTGCACTTGTCCCACAGCATGCTGCACAGTGATGGCACGAACCGCTGGTTTGATAAATCCTTTAACCTCATTGTAGCCAAGGATGGCTCTGCTGCTGTCCACTTTGAGCACGCGTGGGGCGATGGTGTCGCAGTGCTCAGGTTTTTTAATGAGGTGTTCAAAGACAGCACTCAGACGCCTGCCATCACACCACAGAGCCCACCAGCTGCCACAGACTCTTCGGTCGCTGTGCAGAAGCTTGACTTCAAGCTGACCGATGCCTTAAAGACTGGCATCACCACTGCTAAGAGAAAGTTCGATGAAACCATGAAAACCCTCACCATCGACTGCATCCAGTTTCAGAGGGGAGGCAAAGAGTTCCTGAAGAAGCAGAAGCTGAGCCCTGATGCGGTGGTGCAACTGGCCTTCCAGATGGCCTTCCTGCGTCAGTATGGGCAGACCGTGGCCACCTATGAGTCCTGCAGCACCGCAGCGTTCAAGCATGGCCGCACCGAGACCATCCGGCCAGCCTCCATCTTCACGAAGAAGTGCTCGGAGGCCTTTGTCAGGGAGCCCTCCAAGCACAGTGCCGGAGAGCTTCAGCAGCTGATGGCCGAGTGCTCCAAGTACCACGGCCAGCTGACCAAAGAAGCAGCAATGGGTGAGCCGGGATGGAGACGCCCCGGGGTCTGGTTACCTCAGTGCACAGGGAAGCCTTAGTCATGTTCTTCTCCACATCTAACTTCTACCTCTTCACTAGCTTTAAGCTATTTTCCAACTCCCTGGAGTATGTCTGGGCTTTTCTCGCCCCTACCCTAGCTATCTGAAAAGCTAGGCTAACCATCTGGGATAAGACACATTCTCTCCTAAGCAGAGATAAGGAGATGCAGGTAAGTTCATCCCTGGATGGGGTTACTTCCTGCACTGACACACAGTTCTCTTTTTCTGTCATTGCTAGTAGAATTGCTTTTGACAATTTAGAATTTCCGAGCCCTTTCACTGCAGCCCTGCTGTAGTGTGTTGTTTCCCTAGAGACATGTCACCTCGGAAGCTCTTCTCAAATCTTGGTGCATTTCTTCTTTGCCTCTTTTTAAAATAAAACTTGAGACCAGAATAGACCCTTGCAGATCACATGGTTTATCTTTCCATGTAGCTATAAAATCCAGAAGCTAAAAGGCACTTCCAAGACAGCCCAGCCTCATTTTCCACTTCATTGGTAGGAAACAAAGGTCACTGGCCCAGTGCTGCATCACAAGTTACTATAAGACTGAGATGAAAACCCTGGTCAGTTAACGTCTAATTGCCACTGACTCAGTCCCATCTTTTTGTTTGATCTGGACTTTGAGTTTTATCTGTTTTTTAGACCATAGCTTACTTTCCTTGGCTGTCTGATTGAAAACTGACTGAATTTCAGAATTTTTAAGTCATGTTTTCATTTTAGGGTGGGTAATTTTTAGTTTGGATTTTGTTAGCTTTATTTAGGCAGTGCCCCAGGGCTTAGTGACTGGGAGGTAGACCAGCTTCCCCCATACTCTTCAGTGAGAGAATCCAGCTATGGATGGGAGGTCTGTCTTAAAAGTCTCTTTAATTTAAAAAAAAGAAAAAAAGAAAAGAAATCTCTTTAATTTCTAGATTCTGAGCCTCTGGTTTTCCATTTTTGTCTCTGACAGGCCAGGGCTTTGACCGACATTTGTTTGCCCTGCGGTATCTGGCAGCAGCCAGAGGGATCCCCCTGCCTGAGCTGTACCTGGACCCTGCGTACGGAAAGATAAACCACAACATCCTGTCCACCAGCACACTCAGCAGCCCAGCTGTGAACATTGGTGGCTTTGCCCCTGTGGTCCCTGATGGCTTTGGCATCGGATATGCGGTTCACGACAACTGGATAGGCTGCAATGTTTCCTCTTACACTGGCCGGAATGCCCGCGAGTTTCTCAGCTGTGTGGAGAAGTCTTTAGACGACATGTTTGATGCCTTAGAAGGCAAACGCATCAAAACAGCATCTGGGTAGGTGAGACGTCCTGGTCGTGACCTTAAGAAAATCAGGGCCTTGTGTAGTCAGTATATGCTGCCCAGTGACTAATGAACCGAATCAAGCCCTGCCTTTGCAGGCCCGGCCACAGGCCTGGCCTTTACAGTGGTGGTTTTAAATCTAAACAGGCCATTTCTGAGGGGCACTAGATCACACCAGAAGATCTACCTTAAGGGCATTTGATCTGAAGGTGGCATTTGAAAAAATAACTCAGGTGGTTAAGCAGAAATAAAATGTAATTGTTGATATAGGTGACTCCTTAATTTTTTTTTTTTTTTTTTGGCCTAAATGTCCAAATCCCCACAAAGAACTTCCCTACAGTATGCTATTTCCTTTGGCTTCTGGCACTTCAGGTTTATGGGGAGTAGTCACAACCTCTGTAAACCTGCTCCTCTTGCCTTTAGAAAAACCTCTTGTTTTAAGAATTAAAGTGCTGCTGCACTTTGATTCAGAATTATGCTACACTAAGTCTATTCCTGTGGATTTAGGAAGTCATAACAGGAATAAATGCAACATAGGGAAGATCAGCTCTGACTTCTACCATATCATAAAGAACTGTCCTCATCAATAACACCCAGTATATAAAACCAATCCCTTGGTAAGACATAGTCTCCACCTGCTGCACCTACTTCTACTAATCACAAGGGCTGATAATCACGGCAAAATGTGTTAGCTTTATTGATGACAGAAGAAGAATTGATGCCTTTGAGTGGTGGTGCTGGAGAAGAGTCTTGAACATACCATGGACTGCCAAGAAAACAAATAAGTCTGTCTTGGACAGAGTGAAACCAGGTTTTTACTTGGAGGCTAGGATTTTGAAGCTCCGTCTCACATAGTTTGGGCACGTGGCCTGGAAGGACTTTTCCTTGGAGAAGGACTTCATGCTTGAAGGGTGGAGGGTCCCCATAGGAGAGGAAGACCCCAGATGAGATGGATTGCTATAGTAACTGGGCCAATGAGGGTTGGAGTGTCAGAGTCAGTGAGACTGGCTCAGGACAAGGCAGGGTTCAGAGCTGTTGTATATAGGGTCGCTGTGAGTTGCAGGTGACTCGACAGCATATAACAACACAACAGAGTTCATTTTATGCCACTTTGTCTTTACCAAAGATCTACTTTAGTGCATATTTTCACTAACTAGAAGCAATCCAAAGAGAAGTTTCACTTTTATGAATAAAGGCTAAAAGTGAAACTAGTACTCCCTATTTATTTTTGCAGCAAATCGCTAAAGGGGTCACATGCAGCGAGAGTACTTAAGCTCTGTCCCCAGAACTACGCCCAGCATCAAGCCACCATTGCTTTAAACTGTCATGTCTGTTATTTTTTTTGTTGTTACGTTTTTCGTTTGGAAATGCTTATATTTTTCTCATATAAATGAATGGTAATTTCTCTTTGGCTTTATGTCACTTCTGCTTACTTTTGAATAGTTGGAGGGGGGGATCCTCAATATGGACTTAACATTTCCATTTCTCTTTGATATATACCTGGCAGTGGACTTACACAATTACATGGTAAGCCTGTGCTTAACATTTTGAGGAACTGCCAGACCATATTCCAAAGCGCATGTGCTGTTCCCAATTGTAGTGGGTGCAGTATCTTCCTGTCCTCGTTATTGTCAGGTGGCATTGAGTTTGGCTCCAAGTCACAGCGACCCCATGTACAGAATAAAACCCTGCCCAGTACTGTGCCAGCCTCTCAATCTCTATGCTTATGTCCACTGCTACAATCACTGTATATCTCATTGAGCATCTTCTTTTCCTTCTCTTTCTACTTTTCCAAGTATCTTGTCCCCCAAGAACTGGGCCCCTCTGGACAACAAACCCAAAATATGTTAGCTGAAGTCTCCTCATCCTCACTACTAAGGAGCACTCTGGCTACACTTCGGGCGAGACAGATTTGTTCATTCTTTTAGCTGTCCATGGTGTGTTCTTCATCAGCACCACAATTCAAAGGCATCAGTTCTTCCTCAGCCTTCCTTATTCTCTGCCCTCATTAACCCAGCTCAACCGGCTCCCTCCTTGGAGCCTTAAAGAGGTCTCCACGGAAGAACAGGTTGTTCCTTCCCCATCCTGTGGCTCCTACATACGACTTCAGTTTTATCCGTGGAGGCTGGACTTATGGTAGTTGTTGCTGGAGGCAGCATTACTGTTCTGCCAGAACCCATACCTTTGTCAGGTGACTGTCTCTCCTGCCATGTAAGTTGTGCTATGGAGTAAGCTCCACTCATAGCAACTCTGTGTACAACACAATGCAGGCCTGCCTGATCCTGTCACTCTCAGAATCTCTGCTGTGCTTTCACCCGTTACGGTATCATTAGAGATGGAGTCTGTTCCTTCATCTTTAACTGGCCCTCCTGCCTCTAGACTTGACTTTTTTCTAGCCCATTCTCAGCACAGTGATCTTTTCTCTTATACAAGCCTGATCATGTCACTACTTCAGATCCTTCAGTGGTTTCCCAGTATACAACACAGGTCTGTTCACCACAGCTGCCCGATGTGAGGAAGCATACAGATCCTGTCCTTTCCTCCATCTAGCTATTTTTTTTTATTGTGGCTTAAGATCATTTTTAAGTCACAATCAAATTGCAAAATTAGGGTGAACTGTTAAACAACATCACAGGTCTTTCTCACATGAACTTTTGTAAATCAGTCCTCAGCTTCTATAAAGTAACTGGCTTTTATAGTCAGCACTTGAGATGTGTGTCTTCCAATTAGATTTGTTTGGCTCCAGATTTAGCCCCCCACACACACACACACCTTTTTTTTAAGCCCTAGGCTCTTTGTGTGCCTGGCTGCTTACTTAAAGGTTGAAAGTTTTTATATCCACCCAGAGCCACTTTTGGAGAAATGTCTGACAAGATATTGCTGAAAACCCTGCAAAGCACAATTCTACTCTGACAGGTGGTACAACTAGGAGTCAGAGTCTACTCAGTGGCATCTGGGCTTTTTATGTTGTCAGGGCTGTGGAAGGGGAGCTAAGAGCCTCTACCCTAGGAAGCAGGGCTGGGCCAGGCCCTTCCTGCTGTCCCCCAGATCAGAAAGGACCTGTTGGGCAACTGAAAGGGAACAAGATTCCTCTGGCTTCTCTGGGAAACAAGGAAGATGGCACTTGCTGCCAGGGGGGATGAGATCCAAGTGTCTACAGGACCAGATGACTTGATTCAGGCTGGTTTCACTAGGACTTGGTCATTCACTAAGCAGTGCAGACACTGCCAGCTGCTTTTCTCCTCAAATCCAGTTTCCCTTCAGTCTGCAAACTGCACAGCCAGCATTGTGCTGAACACATGGCCTACAAGGTCTCATTTAACCCCTGCATCTCTGTGGTGAAATCAGGTCTAGTGAAACTCAAACTTGCTGCTGTTGAGTTGGAACCAACTCAGAGCTAATTTTCCAGGTGTTTTCTAAGCCTGTAATCACAAGGGAAGAATGCTGGTTTTTCTCATGGATTCCAATCACCAGAGACACAGCCTTCGGTTACCTGCATAAATTCCTATGGTCTGTCAAGGCTTACTGCAGCATATTTTGTTACAGAACTTTCCCAGGGACTCCTATACAACCATGCTGAGAGGTGGGTTTGGTTTTTTATCTAGATTTTTATATAGGGGGAGCAGAAATCAGCCCCTGTGCTGGGTGCTGGGTCCTATTCAGTGGCTGAAGTTCCATAGGGTTAAGGAAGACTTTGAGGAAATAAAAGTTGTCTGGAAAAGTCCAGGTGTAGTTGCTTTGTTATATTGTGATGGACAGAAGTGATGAAGTGTGAAGACCCCTCAAATCTCCACCTTGCCTCACACTATGTTCTGGAACCCTGGGGCAGGGAAAGCGCCGCTCTTACTCCTGTTTCATGGGATTGCTGACAGCCACATTGTAGTAAAGAACGACAAGAGTGACACACTCCGTGTATTGGCAAAACTGGGGAGCTGCACATCCGTGACCATCCTCACCCACCAGCTCCACTTCAATGCTTGTGGTGCACAAAGCCCAGGTACGAGATTTGGGCCAGAACCAAAATCTATTTTCACTGGTGGTTAAAGACTCACTGGGTGACTTACTCCTAGAAGACAGTCTGGGTCTGAGTCATCTTTCTCCCTTTAGATCTTGATGTAGTGGCCCTTGAGTGAGTTTGCCAAGGTGCCTGAAAGGTACCAGGACAGACAGCCATGTCGTCAAGTACCAATCCTGCAGCTTATGGCCCAGGAGGGAAAGTTGTCCCTGGAGTCCAGAAGGGTGAGGATCCAGGGGGATGCTGCTCACAGAGGCATGGAGACACTGGCAGGTGACCACCGTGACCACCTACCTACAACACCTGGGCACTTCCTAGAATGCAGTTTTGAGAACCTAGCCTTGATCTCATTCACAACAAAGTGAAGGTTTTAGATAAACTTAGTTAAGAAAAACACTATTGGATAATGAGGTACTTTTACATCAGCTCTTCAGGGTCTAGAGCATACTGAGAATCAGCAGAGCACGTCCCCAAACTGCATAGGACATTTATGGCCCATCCAACCTCACCTTCCCACCATCCTCTCCCGGTAGCTTTCATTTCTAGCCCTTGGGCAGCAGTGTCATCCTGGGGAGTAGGGCAGGGGGTCTGGCGCATCATTTTCTGAATCTAGGTTTGTCTATGAGAGGTGCAGCTTAGACATTCTCCGTTCTGACTGATCTCAAGGTAACTCTCAGAGAAGTAAGCCTCTTCGTTTTTCATTTGGAGGCAATGTGTGGGAGGGGAGGCACTAGCCCAGGGCTCTTGCTGCCCACCACTGCAGCACCAAAGTACAAGACCACCACTCCTGGGAGAAAATTGTCTGTGCGGAGCAAGGATTTTATCATATTTTATTCCACAAAAGTCAGTGATTGTCCCAGCACGATTTATTGATGAGTTAGTAATTTCTCTACTGCCCTGCCCCACCACCACCTCTCATACTTCTGTGTAGCCACAGGAGGACAAAGCAGGACCAGGAGGAAAAGTCTCAAAGTTCTTCCTGGCTCCTGATGGGAGAAGAGCGTTCATCTCAGCAAGTGACAAAATCAGAGGACTATCTAGTGGGAATTTTGTACTCTCATGCCAAGACTTCTGCAGACTTATAATGTCTCTTTTAGACCTGGAATCTAAAGTGCACGAAATAAGATTCACTTGCATCTCAGCTCAGGACTGGTGTGCTCTGAGCATCATTCCAGAAGCCCAGGGGCCTTTTGTGCCAATGGCCTCAATGTCTTCAGGCCTCTGGGTTAATGTGCTGCTCCCTCAGAGCGTAAGAGCCTTCAGAAGCTGTGTGATCTTTGTATTTTACCAAATGGAGCAGGCATAGGTTTTTAAACTGTGGGAAGGTTCCAGGAAGTAGCTGGATTTCTCCCACATACATTCTTGTGTGTGGAGGCTGCTGCTTGACTTCACCTTCCTTGCAGCATGAACAGGGATTCCACAAGGAGGAGTGGGACAGCTGTCAAGGAGTCGAGCATGCAGTACTGTGAGGGCTTCAGACAGCTGCCAGGAGCTGTGGGGTGAGGGGAATCACTCTGAGTGGTGCTGTTACTTGGGGCACTCTGTCCATTTTCAGCTCTTAGGGGCAAGCTCGCAGAAAGCGGACTCAGCACTTTACAAATTGGTGTGTGACTTCGTAGATTCCCACAGACTCCTGAGCCTTTTCATCATAGTCAGTCCAGTCCTGTGAAATACAATGGCAATGTCAGCTTCACGGAACAGCCTATGGCAGTGCGAGGAGTGCAAAAATGTGATAGGAAAGGCCCCATTCAGGCTCTGCCTCAGTTATTCACACCCAAGTGTACTCCCGAACACAGCTGGACAGCTCAGGTTTAAACACCAGCTGTTTCAGTTCTGTAACTGTGGGCAAGTCACTTAACTCCTTTGAGCCTCAGTTTATAGATATGGCCCAGCACATGTATGTACTCCATTAGTATTTTATTATTAAGAGCAAAGAATACTATTTATCTCTCCTTTCTTTAAGGCCTGAGCAGTTTCCTCCTCTTCAGGGTAGTAACATTTTCTATGCCTAATAGGCTCCAAGAACTAGCTTTCCAGAGATGAGCACTGCTCTCCAAAACAACTTCCCAACTGCCCTACAGAACCTTGTAAAGACCCCAAGAGCCGTACCTTTTCCTGCAGGTTAATGTCACTGAAGACTGTCCCTGACTCCAGACCCTCAGCGGCAAACCCCGCCTGCAGGTAAGAGAAAGGCACTGGTCAGTCTGAGGGGAAAGAGGCACTGAGCTCAGGCAGATGGGCTGTCCAGGGAGCTGACGCCTCTTCCAATGTTTCTGGGATAGCACGAGGCAGGGTAGGCAGCTGCCTCAGACATAAGGTGGTGGATGTTTTATGTACCACTCAGTTAGAACTGACTCAGAGCTGACTCTTCAGTGGTTTTACTGAGGCTGTAAACCACACAGGAAGAGACTGTTCATCTTTCTCTCACGTGGACATGAACCACGTGGCTTTGGCACAACTTCTACCACTGAGCCACCAGAGCTCCCACAAAACTAAGGTAGGTAGTTTCTCCAAATAAGAACCCAGGTCCAGAAAGCATGAGGGCTGGGGTAAACTCTTCTACTTCCCTGAAGGCTCCTGGGTGCTTCACTTCCCTTCTCTGGACCTCTTGGGGGGGTTTTGTTGTTTTCATTTGTTTTTGAGATTCAAGGGATTCTAGCTCTTCTGTCTACATCACGGATTTGCTGTGAGGCAAACAAGCTGTACTTGGGACAAGCCCTGCCTGGAGAAAGCAGTGAGTTAGGTTCCAGTTGCAGTTCCACTGCTTCCTAACAATGTGACCCAGGGCAAGTCACAAAGCCTCTGAGGTTCTCTCTTATCTGAAATACAGGATGAGTAACTTCATAGGCTTACTGAGCAGATCAAATGAGGGAACATGTAACAGTGCAACATGCACTAGTACACAGCACCTAGCAGGCACTGACTGACTAAGTTAGAGTTCTGGGGTCACTTCCTACATCCCTCCCCAAAGACAGCCCTTACAAGGAAGACCCACACACCTGCGGCTGGAAATCGACTGGTTCAAGACCCCGGCACTCAAACTCTACTATTGTCTTGAACTTCTCACTGTCTTCAGCCTGGGGAGAAAGTGTGTTGAGGAGATGGGCATCAGCTGAGGCCCAGGATGACCCTATGGCACCTGCTGTTTCTGCTAAGGTTTCAAGTGAGACTGGAATAAGGCCCAGGAGCAGCTGGTCTTCTAAAAGGGGTCTGCTGTGGACACTGATGCTGAGTGGACCATGAGGTGAGACTGCCTGGCTGGGAGCCTGCACTTAGCCTCTCTTCCACTCTGGGCCCAAGATTCTCAAGGAAAGTTTAGACAATCTCTACAGGTTTACAGTGAGAGCCTGAAATAGTGTGCAGAGCAGCGAGTGCATTACTCTGTAATTATGTTCAAGAAATGACATGTAATAATGCCAAAAATAGAGATAAGGATGTTGAGCTATTTCATCTCCAGAGCATTCAACAATCCCAAGACACTTAGCCACAGACTTTTGCTAACCATCATCTGCTATGAGGAGGGCAGGGAGTCGCCCTAAACACTAAACGTGTGTAAGTAGGATGTGTGTAGAATGCGGTACCTCTGAGGTACTATGGGCAGGAGTTTCATGCCTGCCTGACCCTTAAGACCCTAGCACCACTCACTCTCCTTCCAGCACTCCTTAACCTCATCCCCTGTACACCACCCTGCGCCTGGCACTGGTGAGCCATTTCTCCAATGGGTTGCGTGTATTTTCTGTTTGATGAGCTGTATCTTTCACTAGGTTACTTTTTCCTTAAGAATAAATCTTCATTTCTTTAACTTCTAGACAAAGGAAGGTGAAAGGTATTTTAAATGTCCAATAAGAGTAGATGCCTTCTGTTAAATAAAGGCTCAAAGCATACATCCTTGTCCTTGAACTTTAGGCTAATTTGTAATACAACATTGTTGATGTTAGGTACCAACAAGGTGGTTACTCATACCGACCCCATGAATAACGGATCTGAATCCTGCCCCGTCCTCCCGATCTCCAATGTAACTGAGCCCATTGTTACAGTCATCGTGTCAATCCTCCACCTCTCCTAGTACGATGTCTTTTTCCAAGGCCTGGCCCCTCCTGACAACAGGTCCATCCATATTATGTGAGCTGAAGTTTCACTATCCTTGCCTCTAAGGAGCACCTTGGCTGCACACAACCTTAGGAACTGAATTGTGCCCTCCAAAGATGAAGTGCTTTGGAGCCTAGTCCCTAAAAGATGAAGTGCTTTGGAGCCTAGTCCCTATCCCTGTGCTAGAATACCATTTGGGACTGGACTTTGTTATGGTAATGAGAATGTATCCTATGTATTGTGTGTGAATTTCTTATGAGATATAAAGGAGAAGATTAAGCATGAAAATAAGCACAAATGACCCAAGAACAGAAAGCCAAAAAGGGACAAAGCCCTTCCCCTAAAGTTAGAGAGAGACAAAGAGATAGAGACACTTCCCCTAGGACTAGAGTCCTGAATCCTCCCTGCTACCCCTCCTAAACTTTGAGAAACTAAATTTCTTATAGCCACCCATTTGTGGTATTTCTATTATTACAGCACTAAATAACTAATATGGAGAAAGGATACATCCCAGACACACACCATTCAAGAAGCTGGACTCTACAAAGAAGAAAATGGTATTGGGGTTGGGGGTAGATGCAAATATTGAACAACCTGCATTATGCATGACACGCCCATGCTTACTGGACATAAGGACTTCAAACACTTGCTGCAGAAGATCAAAGGCTTCAATATGGATTGCATCTCAACATCAAGACAACAAATACCACTGGACTGATAAGCAACATCATGACAGATGGAGAAAAGACTAAAATTGTCAATGATTTCATCTTACTTGTATTCACAGTCAACACCCTTGGTGTACCAACATCAGGTATCAGGAGATGTACTGTACTGGGCAAGTCTCCTGCCAGGAACTTCTTCAAATTACCGAGGAGCAATGATGTCACTTTGAAGACTAAGGTCCACCTGGTTCAGGCTTTGGTCTTTTCAATCACTTATACATTTGCGAGATGGACAATGAATAAAGATGATAGATGAAGAAATGATGCCCTTGAGTTGTGGTGTTAGAGTATTAAATATTCCATGGACTGACAAAACAACAAACATTTATCCCTTAGGAAAAGTGCAGCCAGAGTGCTCTGTAAAGGCAAAGAAGATGAAGCTTCATCTTGCATACTCTGCGCATGTTGCTAGGAGAGGATATTCCTTTGAAAAGGGCTTCATGCTTGGAAAGATGGTGTTAGTAAGAGAGGAAGATCCGCACTGAGATGGACTGACATCGGGATGGCAGCAACAAGCTCAAGTATGTCAAGAGATGATGAGGATGATGGCACAGGATAGGACATGGTTCAGATCCACTGTTCTTAAGATTGCTGAATTGTCCTCTACTCAACAAGATCTCAGAAGGTAACTAAGACACACCTAATAGCCTAAACAATATCAACACTGGGCACCCATCAAAGGACTATTCCACATGATTTCAGAGAGACTTACTAGTCTCTTAAGATGAACAGAAGGCAAGCATCTCAGCTGTAGAAAATGAGTGGCAAGTCAGGTTTGGTGGTCCTTATAGACTCCACAGCCCAGTATTTATAAGAAACACTGAAGAGCTTATTTTTTAATATGTTAGAATGTGGTGAATAAATGGCTAGGTGAGTGACTGTAAAGATTTAGTTAATGAATGTCCAATGGTAGGTCACTCTGATACAGACAAAACTGTAGGACCAAGCTTTCTAGTTTAGATTTCATTCCACCCTACCAGCCCCGGTAATAGGACACTTACATTGTAAGATTTGATGGTGCTGCTCAAAATTTCTGAAACATAAAAGAGAAGACGTCAATGAGTCCATACCCTGGCCCACCCAGCTGCAGTTCCAGAAGAAAGGCGTTCCCTGACAGGTGGCAGCACCCAGGCCTGTGTCCAGGCACAGGGAGCATAAGCCTGATTTTGGTGTGGTACCAGAAAACAAGGGACACCCCAGCAGACCTGTATTCATGGCCTGACCTACCGATGGAGTTCTCTCGTGAGCATAGCTTGCACTTCTGGACCATGGAGGCACTGCCACGGCCTCCCTTAAGTGCCACGCTGTCCTGGTGAGAGGAAAACAGCCTCAGGTCACATGTCAATTAGATGAAAGGATCCTGAGATCAAAACCCATCATTCAGTGTTTAGGTGAAGAGAGAGAAGGTGGGCAACTTGCCAGGACAAGAATCCTCAGAAAGTTTAAGACTGGGGAAAGGACTTCCCTAGAAGCCCTTTGCATTCTACCTCCCAACCCAAAAATGCTGTTGTGGCCACTGCTTTGCACTGCAGACTGCCATCCCCAAACCATAAAAAGCAGGGTCCATAGAGAATAATGCAGAAAGTTCTCCATATCCATGCCCAGATGTGTGTGCTGGGGTATATAGGGTGGGGGAACAGTTACCATCAGCCGGATATATTGCCACTTCTCTGAAATCTCACCACAGTTACCACATTTCATCTTGGGAGAGAAAAAGAGTGTATTAGTCAAGCAGCTGCTGAGTTGACAGAGATGGAGGGAAAAGGTAAGACCAATGTTAGGTGGGTGGGCATATAACTCACCTTCCTGCCAACAACCTCACCTCACTCTTAACCACCAGCTCCTTAAAGGTTAAGGTCTGGCTTTCTTTGGGTGGAAAAGTAGGTCAAGTTGTTTTTTCATGCTGGTATGCCTACCCTCCTCTAAGAAGTGCCCACTTTAACTGGGAATTCAAGGCTCACTTGGTACAGAAAACAGCCTTGCAAGGCGCCCCCCCCCTCCATAGTTGGGACTTCCTCCAGGTCTCCACAGGTTAAGAATATTTACTACTCTGTTTTCACTCTATTTGTCTCTTCCACTACACAGTGCTGCTTGAAGCCAAAAATTAGGATTCCCCAAATAAATGCTAGAACTTTGGCTACACAATATGTGGAATCAAACGTAGTTAGAGGTGGTTTCCTAAAGGAGACAGGGCTTCTGTAGGGACTGGATGTTAGGATTAGACCAGGAGGAAAAGAGTTGAAGTTCTAGGGTCTGAGAAAGTGAAAAGCCTTAAACTGCCTGGGTGAAAGGGGCCTTGCAGTTATGTCACTATGGTACAGACTTATCACTGTAGGGTAGAATTAATGCATAAAAAAAAAATCGTAACAAAATCTAATTGGGGAGCGCTTCATTCTGTTGTATACAAGGCTGCTACAAGTGAAAGGCAATACCTAATAACAACAAACAAATTTTAAAATATTCATCTTCTAAATAATTACAAGATCCCTTCAAGTAGCAGTTTTAGTACTCAAAGATGAAGAAATCAAAGATTAACCAATAAATTCTTAACAATAAAATACAAAACTACTACCAGGAAAAACTATTTGACTCTTTAATGTTAGAAATGTTTTATCTTGCAGGAAGAAAGCGCCTGGCCTGTTCAATACTGAAATCACTCAGTGATCATTCAACTGCTAAGATGAGAAATCCCTCCCCGGGACCCCCCTCCCGCTCTAAAGCTCTAAGCTGCCTGGGATGCGCTCCCTTCCAGGGCCCGAGCCCCGCCTCCCCAGCTGCACCTTCAGGTACCACCGGAAGTCCTCGCCCACAGGCCGGAGGCTCGTGACGTTCTCCAGCGTGGCTTTGAGCTGCAGCGCGATTTTCTAAGGGGAGGAGGAGGGTCCAGCAACACCATCAGACGCGCCTGCGCAGCCCCTTACCCGCCCCGCCCCTCCCAGAACGAGCTCTGTTTCCCTTCCCAGCACAGACCCCATCGTCTCATTTTCTCCTGGTCGGAGTAGAGGCCTTGCAGATCCTTGCCTCCTCCCCCGCCCTGCCCTGCATCGGCTCGACTTCTTCTCACCCCCATAGTTGTAGGGTTCAGCCCGCGCCAGCTGCAGCCGCTCCTTTCCGGCCTGTCGTAAAAGGGGGGCGCGGTCTGCGCAGCCGCGAAGTGAGGGCTGCGACAGTGCGTGGGGCGGGGCGAGGGGGCGGGACCCCATGGTGGGCGGGGCAGCTGTGGCTGCCACTATTATCTGCAGGCTGTTTATCTTCTTCGATTAAATGAAATTAAATCTGTGAAAGCTGTTGTTGTTGTTGTTATGTGCCGTCGAGTCGTTTCCGACTCATAGCGACCCTATGCACAACAGCCCTAAACCCTGCTCTATCCTG